ACAGAGGGATGCGCGAGACAGTGTTTTTGGGGCCACCCAGCAGCTCTGCACTTTCATCCTGAAAGAGATAGGCTGGCATAAATGCATCCCAGGCTCGGGAATCTGGCAAACTATTTAAGGCTCGGTTAGTTTGTGCTGTTTTAGGGAGGGTGACAGAGAACAAAAAGCAGAGGAGCAAAGTGTGAAAGGGACATTTGTCCACTCGCTGTATTATCAGATGGAGAGAACTAACAGATTGCTGGACAGGATAATGCCATCATGTCATCCCACACGCCAGCCTGCAGTCGTGGGTTATGTTTTCCCAAATGCTCATTCCTTTCCTTCCAGTGCAATAAGAATGTAATAAACATTGTTATTTGAGGAGGAGCAAGGGCGTGGGCTCCCGGGGCGTTCATTCAAGCCATCTCTTCACTTCGCCCCGGTTGCAGAATGGACTCTGGGGTTCCAGTGGCCGGTGCTGCCGCAGGCCCTGGCACATGCTGGAGGTGCTGCAGCTGGACTGGCACCAAACAGACTGAGTGGAAAAAACAAACCCGTAAATGTCCTCTCATTTAAATCAGTTGGTCATCTGTGGGGTTGCATTAATAGGGCGTGCAAATATGGTTTTAATACAACTTTATTACATGTTAAGGAAGGAAATGGTTGTTAACTTCTGTAAGTTATCATTTTAGAAGTACTTTTTGTTTGTGATTTGAAATTGGTTTTCACCCAATTAATGTGTTCCTCACAATGGGATGATGATTATTTCAGCCTCGGAATAATTCTGTCTCTAAGGTTAAGTAATGCAGACCTTCTTCTCAAGATTTTCTTTAAAAAGGCACGTGCTTTATTCAGCTCATTTCATTACTGACCCCCCAGTTCTGCCTGTTTGTACCTTTCAATGCATTTCTTAACAGAAATGCAGTGCGACTGTAATGAGGAGCTATAATTAGTATTAATGAGGCTTCCTGGAAGGAGCAGTCACCACAGCATTTTACCGTCCCTAAAAATAATAATGTTCCAGCGCCTCTGGCTGCCTCCGATCTTGGAGCGGGGACGCTGCTCCCCCCGATCCCGGAGCGGGGTCGGTGTCCCCTCAATCCCGGAGCAGGGTCGGTGTCCCCTCAATCCCGGAGCGGGGTCGGTGTCCCCCG